CGCCCTCTTCTCTTCTGCCTGCGGCGTCAGATGCTTGTAAAATTCGCTTATGAAGGGTCCTGGATCACGGGGTGTGCCACGCCGGTATATCTCGCCCCGGCCGACTTCTTCGCGTAAGCTGTCTGTAAATTCTCTGATCCTCTCGTCCACGATGGCATTCCCCATGGGGTCTTTGTCTTCATATTCGGACTCGTGGCTTTGGTCGCAGCACGAAGCGAGCTCGACTTGTTGCGGATGGGCCTTGTGGCAGGCATGCTGCTTGTGAAGCTTTCTGAGCGCTTTCGTCGCCGCGCTGGAGACCAGCTCTGCACTTTGGCGCGTGAATCTCTGGTGCGATAGTAGTAGTTGCCGTAACAGTCGTCGTCGTCGTAAAAGTCCGTAGCTTGCGTCGAGTTGAAGATGGCAACTGAGTCGTCACTCGCCGCGTACGACTGCTCGCTTCCGCCAGAGGAACTGTCATTGGAAGAATCGTCACCAGAGGAACCGTTATCAGAGGAACCGTCATCAGAGGAACCGTCATCAGAGGAATCGTCATCAGAGGAATCGTCATCAGAGGAATCGTCAGCACCGCTCTCGTCGTCATCCTCGACTTCGACGCGGCTCCTCTCCGCACCGGCGGTGAGCTGGTTCTCCTTCCAGAGGTCGAATCTCTCGAGCGCAGCACCCCAGTGAGAACTGCAATGCGACCTTCGTAGAAAGTCCCTCATTTTCGAGGGAAAAGTCCCCGTTAAGGGGAAACTCTTTTCAAGGATAAACTCGTTGCGAAAGCTTCGGAGACTCGAAGCCGTCACGCGAGACAATTTTTTCATGCACCTTAAAGGCTTTGGAGCTCCAGCTGATCTGCTCTTGGCCACTCCGGAACAGAATTCGAAGTCTTCTCGCCTAATCAGTCGTGGGTCAACTTCCCAGTCCTCGTTCATGCCTGGGGCGAAAGCATGATTGCCGTAGATGGCGATTAGGCAGGAGACCACAAACGGGATCCCCCGAGGAGCCATCTGTGAAGTAAGGAAAGAGTATGAGTTTTTCAATTACTCGTTAGTTGGATTCACGAAGGATACCGACAATGATAAAGGTGACTGACCGACTTTTTGATAACCCCAAAATAAGGGGGCTCGTCAGATTTTGTGTAGACACTTTTTTATACTCAGCCACACGCACGCATACATAAGTACAAGAGGGCAAAGGTCCCGTTTCAAGATTTTGAACACCAAGCAGAAGCACGGAACGGACCTACGTGGCACCACTCTGCAACGCGAAAAGAGGCCGAGGGCTGGGTCAGAAGGCCTTGGGCATGGTGTTCCCATGTCGTTTCCACCACACACACACATCTGCATGTAGCCATCTTTATGCTGTTGGTTGCTAGCTCAAAACTCGACCGCACTCGTTTGGGATAAGCGAAGTTTCTACTTCTACATTCGCAACACCAAGCAGACTCCAAGTCAGGTGCGGCCCTGGCCAGACCCAACCCGAAACCTAGTCAGCCCATGTTCCTGGCAGCCTCTTGTCATTGATCACACAATCGGCCTTTTCGCGCGCGAATCCCAAACAGGACGGCCCGCAACAGGCCCTTCGGTCGCCGGTAAGGCTCACAGGAAGATTGGGTAGGCAAGGCAGATCGGGACTGGGTTCGCGGAGAGGATGGTGTATGGTTTGGAGGCAGCCGACTTTGCTGCTATGGGTCATGCGGGCACCTCGGTGTTGATTCACAGAGGACTGGTATGGAGGTTTTTTCGATCATCCTGTGAAGAGCCTGACTCCAACTTACGTCTCGCTTTCTAAGCCTGGCTCGAATACGAGGAGTGCGAATTTTCCAGTCCAAGTCAATTTTGCCTGAGGAAAGTGATGATAGAGAAAAGGTCCTGGCGCCTTGCGCCTTTCCTGAGATTGCCGTGCCTTGGATGGAATACAGTGGCCCGCCGAGAGAAACATCAGTTTATCGACTGTAGCCCCGCATGGCATATACCTCAGAAAGGAAACCGCCAACAATTCTCGACTCGTTGCGACAACCTCCATCCACCTATACTACCTCCCCTTGGACTTCAATGCCTCAGCCGCTCGGTTCTGCTCCCTCCACTCGTCTTTCATGTCGGTGAAAATCCCCCACACATTCTGCTTGCAGATGCCCACAAACTGCACGAACGCCAGCCCGTCTTCCTTATTGCGTTTCGAATACTGATCCTTGTCCTTCTCAGAAAGTAAACTCAGAAAAACGCCCATTATGGCGTCCTTGACATCGTCAGATGGACTGCCGGCACTGTCCCTGTCCCTCCGCGGAGACCACGACCAGGGCCTGCCACCATCCACTTCCGGGGTGCTGTGCCGGGATCCAGACTTTCTGATCGCCTTTGTGACTGTTTTGGCCTTGTGCACTTGAGCAGCAAGCCGCTTGGGCCATCTTTTCTTCGGCGTCGGGCTTTCAGGGACATGGTTGTCACCAGCCTCAAGCGAAGGCATCACGTCCCCCTCGGTACCGCCATAAATGTCCGTCTTCTGTGCCCCAAGACTCATATCAGCGCACTGGCTCGTCATGTACTCCATGCTGTTCTTCCTCGCGCTCATCGGACTGCCGCTCTCCGATACCTCGGTGGCTCTTCTGTGGCCGCCGCTGACATTCTCCACCACGCTCGCTACCGCAACGTGGTTCATCGCATCGTGAACAGCCTGCGACAGCCTCCAGACATTCCCATCAACCCTCTCGTAAGCCGGCAGCTGGACCAATCGCTCCATGCTTTCGACCGTCTCGATGACCGTCTCCCTCGGCGTGCGAAACCACTCCATGTGCCGCTTTCCGCACTCCGGACAAGCCGTGACGACGAGATTCTCGTGCCGCAGCGCCAGGCGCGCCAGCTTCTCCGCCTTTCGCGCCGCGAAGAACGGCCCGCCGTGCGTCTCGTGGATGATCTGCGTGTTGGCCTTGTAGCAGCCATTCGACTGCGCGAGCCTCTTCTCCGCCGAGGACCCAGTGTAACCAATCTTGAAGAGGGCGGGGTCCTCTGTGTGCGCGAGAACGTAGACTATTCCTTCCGTTTCTTGCGTCTTGGTGAGGCACTTGTACATCTCTGCGAGGAACGGCGGCGGGTCCCGGACCGCGCTCTTGTGGCGTAACTCGACGGTGAGGAGCGCGAAGACCCTCTCGTCGAGGACGGCGTTGGCGGCTTCGGCGGCCTCGACGGCGGAGACTTCTTCCGTGGGGGTCACTTCCAGGCTGGCCAGGGGGTCGGTGACGGCTTCCATGACAATGGCCGAGTCGCCTTCCGAGCTGGGAGGTGAGGGGAGGTGGTGCGGTTTGGACGTATCGGAAACCCATAGGCTGTTGTCGCCGGGCGCGTAGCTGGCGGTCGAGTGATGGATGTCTGTCCCAGGATGGGCCGCGACTGGTCTCCTACTGATGGCCTGGAGACCATCAGTTGAACCAAAGACGGAGTCATCTGCTGGCTGAGGTTCAGGCGGTTTCACAGCCTGGTGGTCCAGCACACTCTCTCGGCTGTCCATGACGCTGTCATCGTTGCCGTGGATGCTCTCACAGGTTGGAGAGCGGCAGGTAGGAGGCAAACCATCCGGGTCCTGACTGCTCTGTTCGTGCTCGGTCGTCTCCACCGTGAGGGTCGAAGCCGAGATGGCCTTCACAGAAGCATCCGGTATGCCTGGCGAGCAAGTGAGATCCGTTTCAGCCTCGTCAGCCTCAACAACCTGCACGCTCGCAGTGATCTTGGCGGAGAGCCAGGAGTACTTCCACCTTTCAAGGCTCACGCTTGGCTTCACGACGTGCATCCCGCAATGCGTACTGTTCAGAAAACCCGTCAGCTGCTCAAAGAAAGCCTCCGTCATGGGACACGCCTCCTCTTGCTGAAGCAGGCATAGAGGCTGACGGCAGTCTCACGCCTCACGGCGCCAATGGGTTTGCTGCATCGGTCGCCGTTCACTTTGAAGCCGGAACACCTACTGAACTCACATCCCTCCACCGGAGGGATCACGCTGGAGCCATGCAGAATGGCAGCCAGCGCCGAGAGAGCAGTATGAGCTGTGTTGGTACCAGTCTCCATCGTGTGGGCGTAGTTGACAGGCGAGAAAGGGGCGGCCGAACGAAACGAGTGTCACAAAATGAGTCGAGCGTCACGAGGTGCGTGCCATTGGTTTGCAAGAGTCTCAGGGTGAGCCCTTCCGAGGAAGGCAAAGGCCCATATTACAGGAAATCGCAGACCCCCAGAGCCAACATGAGGCAACGATGAGAGGCCCAGAAGCGGCTCCGATCTGCAACCCGAGGGGCTGGGGGCTCGGATCTCGAGCGAGGCAACTGGGAAATCCAGGGGTTCTCTCGATTCTCTGTCTTGCTTGAGGTATACCTCCGGAACCGAACCCCACAAATCACCTGCAGGTAAACCGCCCGTTATGCGGTTGGTTGCTAGCTCGAACTTCAAACATACAGTTTGGGACAGGTCAAGCTCCGTACTTTGATAAGTCCTCACCAATTAGACCCCAACCTCCAGACCTGGCCGCGGACTTGAATCCACCCAGCCGAATCAGCTGGCCCCGTCCTGCCCGTTCGCGACAGCGTGACTCTGTATCGTTCGCACGGGGCGACCTGCAGCGCGGATTGCCTCACGCCAAGCCATCGACCTGCCATCGACCCAACGGCGGGTAGAAAGCGGGTAAGAAAACCCACCCTCCCCGGAACTGGTCCGCGGACCCAAGGACGTGATA